AATAATGATAATAATTATTTATAATTTTATTAAATAAATTTATAGTTGACATCGAAAATGACTGCATATTATAGTTAAATTAAAGTACAGTCCAATTTCGATAACTCGAATCTCAAGAAAAGTGGTAAACCCTTCGAGTTATAGAGTTATAGAGTTTGAATTATATTTGACTTATCAAAATTCGAGTAAAAGAGGATTAACATTAACATATGAAAATTATAGACTTACGGAGGCTTTGTACGAGAGTTCATAATTTTCCGATTATAATAACTTTTAAAGGAAACAAATTCTATATTTGACAGTAAATTGTTTATTGCATACGTATAATAAATGTAAGAGAAAGGGGGGCAAATAGTGACAGGAAGTAAATAGTGTCACTTTAAATTTCTCCACTTTTCCGCGTCTATTTTATTACTACTCGTTAATAAAAAGACAGTTTTCAAGCATCTAATCATCTTTTAAAAAAGCAGTAAAAATCAAAAGCCAAATATAGCTAGCGGAGAAGTTTAAAATTTTGCATTTGTGATATTAAATAAAACCTAAATCTTTTTTTGATATTTAAAGTTATATTTTCTTAATTGCTAAATTGTTGAATGAGAACTAATCTATTCTATGCAGGGGTCGGTCGTATTTAAAAGAACATTATTTAAAATATGTATTTTAAATAACAAAAAGTAAAAGAGTTATTTAGTATTTATTATTTTAAATAGATCTATCTTCTTCTGATCTATTTTATATTTTACATTTTAAATAAATGTTTTTGGAATTTATTTTATATTTTTTATTTTTTAAATAAGTCGTGTTTTTGGAATCTATTTCATATTTGTTATTTTAAATAAGTTATATCAGTTACTTTACCGACTTCTGAGTATCAGAGATCGGTCATATTTAAAAAAGCATTATTTAAAATATGTATTTTAAATAAGAAAAAGTAAAAGAATTATTTAGAACTTATTATTCTAAATAATTTCTTCTGATTTATTTCTTATTTAATATTTTAAATATATTTTTGAAATCTTGTTAGAGCAATAAGTTCTATTCGCAGGGATGGTGTCTGTATTAATCTCTGCTGATGATCAAGTGCAATATATAAAAGGTTTATTCAAAGCACGTTACAACCATGTGTATGTGACCGGTAGCGGAAGCGCAAGCAAGTATCTCATTTGATTATCGCCCACAGTCACAATCGTAACAGAACGGCGCACCGCAGTGAGCGGAGGGGTCCGGCAAAGGTGGCGTTGGTCGTTAAGCCCGCGAGTATTTGAATCCTCAATACGCCCCCTCAAATCGAGCGTCGTATCACTCTGCAAGTGTTCGCTTTATACCGAGAAGATCCATGCATCTGAAATGCTTCCCTCTCGGCAGTCCCTTTGTTAAGATGTCCGCAGGCATGTCTTCTGTCCTCAAATAATTTAGCTCAATCAGACCGTCTTTAAGCACGTCTCGAACGAAATGATGCCTTAGATCAATGTGTTTTGATCTCGAATGATAGACTGCGTTCTCCGCTAGCAGCTGTGCTCCTCGGTTATCACAGGAGATCGAGATCTTGTTTGGTTCATAAATCCCGATCTCTTGTAGTAGTTTACGCAGGTACATGGCCTCCTTTGCGGCCTCCGTCAGGGACATGTACTCGGCCTCTGTTGAAGAAAGTGCAACCGTCCGTTGCTTCCGAGATTCCCAATCTACGGCTGCACCGCTGAGTGTAAATGCGTAGCCAGTGTAGGACCTCCGATCCAGTGGACAACCTGCCCAGTCCGCATCCGTGAATCCATTCAGTTCCTTGCATTCTTTACGATAGATAATGCCATGGTTTGCAGTGTTCTTCAGGTACCGCAATACCCGCTTTCCTGCGACCCAATGTTGCTTTCCGTGGCAGGAGTTGAATTGACTCAGGGAACTTACGATATATGCTATGTCGGGCCTTGTTCCTACGGCAAGATAATTCAGAGCCCCTACGAGTTCGCGGTAAGGCCTTTTCTCTGATTCTTCATCCTCGCTGTCCGCATTCTGTCCTAGCTTGACGTTCGGATCTGTGGGTGTCTGGACGGGGTTTGAGTTCTCCATGCCAAACCTCCGAATAATCTCGTTGATATATCCGGTTTGTGACACTTTAATGTAATCCTTGCCTCTTTCAATTTCAATTCCGAGAGAGTAATGGGCTTCACCAAGATCCTTGACATTGAAATTTTCCTGTAAGCCTTCTAGCAAGAATTTTAGATCTGCATTGCGACGGTACGCAATTAAGATATCATCTACATACACGAGCGCCAGCAATATCTCTCCGCCTCGCTCGGTCTTGTAGACACAGGGGTCGGCAGTAGTCGGCTTCATTCCTAGCTTTTGAAGTCGTCCATCTAGTGTACGATACCACTGTCGGCCGGCTTGTTTCAGGCCGTATAGTGCCTTGTTCAATTTGCATACCTTGTTGCCGTTCCGTAAGTCCTGAGCCATCTTTCTGGCTTTTCTTCCTACAGGGTCGGTCTCGCCTCTTCTGTTGATGATTTCCTGCAAAAACTCGGCCAGCAATTTTGGACTTTCCATGTAGAGTTTCTCTTCGACCTCTCCATTTAGGTACGCGGTGGTTATGTCCAGCTGGCGCACCTTTAGGTCGAGTTGAACAGCTAAGGCCATCAGCAGGCGTACAGAGCTGAGTCTTGCTACGGGGGCAAATGTGTCGTGATAGTCAATTCCCGGACGTTGAGAGAATCCTTGAGCCACTACACGGGCTTTTCTCTTGTCAATGGTGCCGTCTGGCTTATACTTGTTCCTGAGGATCGTCCTGCAACCAATTACATCATGATTTTTGGGTCGATCAATAATGTTCCATGTGTCATTCTTAACTAGACACTCTATCTCAGTCAGTATTGCCTCCTTCCATTCGACAGCATCGGGACCCTGTAGAGCCTGGTTCCAGGGGATCTCAGCAATGTTTGCAGAATCTTCAGTTGATTCATTTTCCGATTTGTCATTGGATTCGGGTATGTTTTCTTGACTGTCGCGACCTCCCACCATATTGTATCTCTTCTTCGGCCGTCCTCTTTGACCGGTGAGGACCTTCGCCGGTCTGCCTGGTCCACGTTTGGTATTTAGTGGGTTGTGTCTCTCTGACGTTTCTTCAGTCTCCGCCTCGACAACCGGCTCCTCGACTTCTCTCTCAACAGGGCCTTTTGTTTCGTTTCCGACGACCGGCTCCTTGACTCCTGGGTTGAAGTTAAACGTTACAAGGTCAAGAGGACTTCTTGCCTCCGTTTCTTTTTCCTCTACTTCATCCTCGTCGCAGGTTCCCTTGGGTTCTGTGATTCCAAAAAATTTTACATCACGCGAGATTTTAATTTTTTGTTCGCTAGGTACCCATACACGGTATCCTTTTGCTGAGGTGTCGTATCCGACGAAGAGACATTTGATTCCTCTAGGATCGAATTTTCCCTTGCTAGGGTTCTTGTCCAGGACGTACGCCAATTCCCCGAAGATTCTGAGATTCTCGATGTTCGGACGCTTCTTGGTCCATATTTCAAAAGGAGTCTTGCCGTGAAGTACATTAGTTATGCACCTGTTTCTCACGTAGTTTGCCGTCATTATTGCCTCCGCCCAGAATGAGCGTGGTAACCCAGATTGCGTTAGCATGCAACGTGCCATCTCGACGAGGGTCCGATTCTTCCGCTCGGCTACGCCGTTCTGCTGCGGAGTGTGTGGAGTCGTCAATCTTCTTCCGATACCTTCTTCCTTCAGGTAGTCGTCGAACGCTCCGTTGCAAAATTCTTTTCCGTTGTCGGACTGTAGACATTTTATTTTTCTTCCTGTCTGCTTTTCGGCGTACTTCTTAAATTCCTTGAAGATCCGCAGGACGTCACTTTTATTCTGCAGGAAATATACTGTAGTCCATCTGGAACAGTCATCTGTAAATGTAATAAAATACTTGGCTTTCCCTCTCGATTCGGTTCTCATCGGTCCACAGACATCTGTGTGTATGATGTCGAGGATATCTGTGTTCTTCTGCGATGATTTCGGGAAGCTCAATGCTGTAAGTTTTCCGCTGGTACAGACTTCACATGGCGGCAGCTTCTCGCCCTTACTAATTTTCATTCCGAGAACTGCTTCTCTTTTATGCATTTCAAGAAGGTCGCTTTCGTTCAAATGGCCGAGCCTTTCATGCCATATTTGTAGTTGTGATTTCGTTATATTTGTTGAAGATACACAGGCTAGCTGTTCCGGTGACTCTCGCACGTAATAGAGATCGCCGATTCTGTCAGCAATTAAGAGGATGTCACGATCTTTCTTCCTCCTTATCTCGGCTCGATTCTTGTCGAACGTTACAGTATACTCAGCGTCGACGATCTTCGCCACCGACATTAAGTTGCTTCGGAGATCTGGAACATGTAGAGTATTTTTCAGCTGTATCCCTTGGACAGTTTCGCCGTTCGTAGTTTCAATCCTGACAGTGCCTCTTCCCTTCACTTCCGCCGACGTATGGTTGGCTAGGTTCAACGTGGCATTTTTTATGTCAGCGGATTGAGTGAACCGTCCTCCGTCGTTACAGAGGTGTGATGTACAGCCGCTGTCCAAACACCACCGTGTTTCCCTTTCGTCGGAATATGTGTGATAAGAGATATTCGTGGACTGCAGTGCCAAAAATGATTCATCCTCAGCCGCCTTTGCGTTCTCCTTCTTATTGGGGCATTCAGCAGCTTTGTGTCCCACCTTCCTGCAATAGTGGCACCTATACTTGAAGATTCCGTCGGTCGATGTGGTTTCTTTATTTTCCGGTTTCTTCTTCTTCGTCTGTTGTCGTGTCCTTCGTGCGAAGAGGGCATCTGCGTGTTCGTTGTTCTGAGTTCTCTCTGTTCTCAATGTATCCTCGTCTAAGATTTTTATTTTCAACGCTTCAGGGTCGGGCAAGTTGTCTCTCGATTCTATGGCGCATCGAAGATTGTCAAAATTCTCGGGCAAGCTATGTAATAGCATGATAGATTGCAGTTCGTCGCCAATTTCAATGTTTAATTCAGAGAGTTTATTTACGATGTCAAAGAATTCGTCAATATGTACGCGTACGTTGCCGCTTACCTTTAGTCGATGCGTTATGAGTCGTTTCCACAAGGTAGAGTCCTAGATTATCAGAGAAGCGCGACCGGCTTATGGCAGTATCGCAAAAGTAACTAGAAAATATTAAAAATGGCGTCGAATGGCCAATCATAAGTTTGATTTATTCGGCAGCCATTTATAATAGCGATAAATCAATCTTATGATTGGCCATTTGCGTGTCCAATCAGGACTCGTAACACCGGTCGCGCTTCTCTGATAATCTAGGACTCTACCACAAGGAAGCCTTTTTGGCGGGCCCCTTTGACTCAAAAATCGATTCTAGTTTCAGCCAGATGTCTCGTGCAGTTATGCAGTTTTTTACCTGTTTGAGTTCTACATCATTGATTGCGAGGTACAGATCCGCCTTTGCCTTCTCGTCTTCGTCCTTCCACGCTGTTACTGCCTCCGCGTTGTTCGCCGTGAGTTCCGGTTTTGCATTCCGTCCAGTGACGTATGGCCATGTCTTATTTTTGACCATTACTGCTTGGATACGAATTTTCCACGTGTCATAATTGTCTTTTGACAATAGAGGAATTCGTGCCGTGTTTCCCGAAAATTCCATGATTTCTTCCGTAGGTGTCGATTATTCCACCTAACCTCACAACTGCACGTGCTGGTTCTTTCGGTCACGATACTTGATTATTTCACTACAGACTTTGTCCTGGGCCCATAACCTGTTAGAGCAATAAGTTCTATTCGCAGGGATGGTGTCTGTATTAATCTCTGCTGATGATCAAGTGCAATATATAAAAGGTTTATTCAAAGCACGTTACAACCATGTGTATGTGACCGGTAGCGGAAGCGCAAGCAAGTATCTCATTTGATTATCGCCCACAGTCACAATCGTAACAGAACGGCGCACCGCAGTGAGCGGAGGGGTCCGGCAAAGGTGGCGTTGGTCGTTAAACCCGCGAGTATTTGAATCCTCAATAAATCTATTTTATATTTTTCATTTTAAATAAGTTGTATCAGTTTTTTATTGGCTCCTGCGATATTTTATTTTAAATAAGTTTCTGGAACCTATTTTATATTTGTTATTTTAAATAAGTTGTATCAGTTATTTTACCGACCCCTGATTCTAGGTCATACGGTATCTTTTTCCTCTATATATAGTTTATATAATTCCTATGCTTGTGTATTAATTTTATTTTTCTCAGTAAAATTTTAAAGGAAAAAATAGCTCCTGGGGCAAATAATGACCATTTTTAATTGGGTAAATAATGACAAGTCA